CCCTTCCCTGCCTGCCACGTGTGCAGCGGTGGATATAGCGTAGGGTGAGCGGAGCGGCTGTCCCAGGCCCCACGCTTCAATAGGCCCCGCACACGCAATACTACCTGTCGGCCGTGGCCGTGGCAAATGCGCAAAATTGTGCTGCCCTGAGCCCTGTGGTTCAATAGGCCCCGTGCCCTGGGCCCCGCAAAACACTCATCCGCAACGATCACTGGCATTTAGCTACACCATTCAGTTCATATTTTAAAAGGCTGAGGGGTTTGAGAAAGATAATATTGTTTGAAATTCAGTAATTCCTATTTGCCTGGTTTTGAGCATCCTCTTCTCAAGGATGTACAAGAGCCTAAATAAACACATTTTCCTAAAGGTAGTGTCCAAAGACAAGGTATACCCTCATTCCAGGATGCAAATTCTCTGATCTTGTTCGGGGCCACACAAGCAGGGCCTGAGAGCTGCAGGCTGAGACCAGATCCTTCCAGCCCCGGGGCGACTCAGGACCCCAGTGATCTGAGCCACCCAGTCCAGGACCCCCAGGACGCGACCTGTACCAGCCTCGGCCCCATCGAGGTGCAGCCGCCCTCCCTGGCAACGGGACCCAGTGTGCGCTGCCTCCCTCAAGCCAGGCTAGAGCTACTCAGCACGGGGCCCAGCCCTGCAGGCTGCACTGGACCAGCAGCTCCAGCAGCCAAGAGCCCACTGCAGCCCCTTGGCTGGCTGAGCTGTGGCTGCTGCCCTTCCCTCTTCTGTGCCAGACACTCCAGGAGCAGCTCGGGACCCAGAGTACACCCGCAGCTCAGCACAGGGGAAGCTGCTCACAAGGAAGGGCAGAGCCCGGGTCATGCCAGGAAACCTCTGGGCCTCACACTAAGCCACTGCTCACGAGCAGCTTCCCACGCAACACGAGGAGCTGGAGTGCCCAGGCAGGCCCCTAAAGTGAGAGAGGCAGCCAGACTGCCCCAGCAGCGCCCCTAAAGCCCCATCTCCCCCCCTCAGGGCACCTCTAACGCAAGACACCCCAGAAATCTCTTACCAAGTGAGCAAAGCCGGGGGCCTTGATCTTGCAGCGGTAGGGGCGGCTGCTGCCGTCGGAGACCAGGTAGACGCCGAACTCGCCCTGCAGGAGGGAGGGAGCAGGGTGCTGGTGATGCAGGCAGAGGCTCGGCAGCTCTCACACAGATAAACAGCCCTGCAGGTGGGTCACAAGTGCCAGGAGAAGGGGGTGGCATTTGGTGTCCCTCTCCCTGCCCCACCTGCCTCAGGGCCCCACACCCATAGGGTCGGGCAGGACAAGCCTGTCCCAGCTGGGAGGGGCACAGGTGCACATGGAAGCTGGCGCAAAGGATTCTGGGACACTCCCGAACCCAGCATCTCTCACAACAGAGCAGAACCAGGGACCCATACAAGTGCCAGGAGAAGGGGGTGGCATTTGGTGTCCCTCTCCCTGCCCCACCTGCCTCAGGGCCCCACACCCATAGGGTCGGGCAGGACAAGCCTGTCCCAGCTGGGAGGGGCACAGGTGCACATGGAAGCTGGCGCAAAGGATTCTGGGACACTCCCGAACCCAGCATCTCTCACAACAGAGCAGAACCAGGGACCCATGGAGGGGGGAGGGGCAGAAGCCCTGTACTAGAGGCTGAGCCAGGGCTACACAGGCCACAGGTGAAAGGGTGGGAGTGGGGGGGGCTACAACGGGGACATGACCCACACTGCTGCCCCCAGTGAGGGAGGAGAGAACTCAGGGCGAAGGCCCCGCCGACCAGGAAAGGGCACAGCAGGCACCTTGGGGGCCTCGATGGCCGTGTACGTGGCTCCGGGCGGCACCTGGTAGCCCTCTGTGTACAGCTTGAAGTGATGGATCAGCGACTCCATGGAGGTCTGCACAGAAGGGAATTCAGAGCATCAGCCAGGCTGCCTGGGCAGACACTGCAACAGAGAAAGCGGCCATTCCCATGGGCCGCAGCCCCCTCCCAGCAGACCCGTCCCCCCGAAAAGACGGCCGCCTGGGGGGCGCAGCAGCAGGTAGGCCGCGCTGGGCAGCCTCAGGACCGTAACTCACCCCATGAGACCGGCCCAGTCACTTGGCTGCTCTGCAACGTGGCTGCCTCTGCTCCTGGCTGCGGCTGCCGGGATTCCCCCACCCTGTGCGGTACCACAAGGGGCCCGGCCGACGCTGTGCGTGTCACTCCCAGGCCTGGGTGCAGGCAGCCACCTCCCATCCCCCGGTACCGGGTCTTTAGTGACAAGGCAGGGTGAGGGCGCCACCTTACATCCCAGGCGGGCAAAGACATTTCTTCCCCTGGGGGCGACCGCTGCCCTGACCTGCCCCCGTCCCAAGGATGGCAGCTTCTCTGGATTGTGGCTGTTGCAGCAGGCGGGAGCACAGAGCCCCCAGGCTGACCGCAGGCGCCAGACGCGGGGTGGGAAAGGAAAGGCTGTTTCTCTGCTTCTCCCTCCCATCAGGGGCTCGCACTGAGGCCAGGGAGCCTGGACCCTGCAGCACCAGGTGCAGAACAGTGAGGAACCCACTAACACCACCGCCCTTTCGTTCCCAGCCCAGCAAGGCGCAGCGCTCCTCAGCCAGGCAGGACCATGGGGCAACGGGAGTCGCCCAAGGCCAGCAGCCGCCTGCGGCTGGTGGCCACCTTCAGCCAGAGACCCAGGAGGCTGTCACGCCTGCTGGGCTGCTGGCCTTGGGACCCCGCCCAGAGGAAGGCTGGAGAGAACGGCACCAGTGTACCCCAGCTGGGCTCCAGCCCTTGCCCCCTCCCGTGAGGCTGTGACCACAGGAGGGAAGCAGCAAGGCAGCACCACAGCTGAGCCAAGAAGCCAGGTGCCCTGACTTCCCACAGCACATGCCCTCCCTGGAGGCTGGAACAGGCCACAGTGCACCTTAGAGACACACTCTCCCTCCCCTCCCCCCGGCCCAGACCTCAGCAGCCTTTTACCTTCATTTCAGCTCTCTTGGGAGGAGAGATTTTGGCGTCATCCACTTTGATCTCCCCCTCGGGCATCTTGTTGAGAGACTGCAGGATGATGCGGAGTGACTGGCGCATCTCCTCCACCCCTGCCGCACCACGGGGGGGAAGCAGGCTTAGCCCGGGCAAGTCCAGACTGCTGGGGCCAGGCAGCAGGACCGGCAGGCCAACAGCCAAGACCGGAGGAGGCCCCACAACATCCGCGAGGGGCCCTGTGCAGCTTCCACCCCCGCTAGCACCCTGGGCACCACCGGGAGAAGGCTGCTTGGCTCAAGCCAGGTGACACCCACCCCTGGAGACTATGGTGGGGTGGGGAACCTCAAGCCCGGGGGCCAGATGCAGCCCCTGGCTTGCTTGGATCCGGCCCCCCAAGCAGGGCTCCCCCTGCCCTGGCTCTCCGGCCCCCCTGCTGCCCCACCCCAGGGCTAGAGCACACACAATCTACTAGCCCAGGCTCTGGTGCGTGAGGGACACGTGGGCCATGTCAGTGGGGGCTGGTTTGTGTTGATTCTCACTTGTGTGTGGCCCCCGATGGATTTTTCTGTGGCTCAGCAGCCCCCAACCTGAAAAAGGTTCCCCGCCCCTGCTCTATAGAATCGTACTTCCCTATCCCAGAGGAGTGTTTTGAGCATAAATCAAACCCAGCTGTTCAGAAGATGCTAGAGTGAGGGAGCTATATAAATCCATAGATAGCATCACTGGGAAGGTTTTTCTCATCAGTTAACAGTTTGTACAGTTTGTAAGGGATTTGCTTTTGTGTGTTTTGTGATGGGTTCCACCTGGTCGTACACCTCGTAGGGCTGGGTTTTGCGGAGATCCCACTGGATTCCAGAGCCGCGGAGCATCACCCCACTGAGACGGGCAGAGAGGAAAGGGTCAGCCAAGTGGCAGGGGCCGGATCGCGCCTCCACCCCACCCAGGGCCCTGGCCTGGCAGGGACCAACCCTAGACATGGCTGAGGAGAGCGCAACCCTTCCAGGGGCCATTCCCAAATCCACAGCCCAAGGGAGGTTTCTGCTGGAGCCTGGGTGCTTGGCAGCCTCCTTGGCCCAAGAGGGCTCCAAGAGCACAGACTAAGCCCTGCCCCAAGGGCGCGTGACGAGCGCACCAGGGCTGGGGAAACCAAGGAACAGCCGGGGGGTGGGGAGGGAGTAAAGCCAGATAAAGCACTCAGAGGACTCTGCTCTCCTGGCTCTAGCCGCCAGATGGCGCCAGCAAGGTCCACTGCAGCTGTAGTGAGGGTTTGCCGCCCGCCAGCACCCAGGCCCGGCACCCATGCTCCTCTGTCCCCAGCCAGCTTCCTGGCTCCTGCACACTGGGCAGGGTGGCTCTGACAGGCTGAGACCAGGCCTCCTCTCCAGGGGCCTCTCCCCAGCTGGCCCTAGTGAAGCCCAGTCTGGCTGCCTCCACAGAGCCAGCTAAGGGCCCCAGACTCCGCCCCCCTTTAATCCTTAGGGGGCACTTCTGACACCCCTCATGCTGCCCCTACTCCAGGACCACTTGTGGGGCAGTGTGAACCAGCCCCAATGGCCACTTCCCTCCCAGACCAGGGGCATCTTCTCCCACCCCGGCGCTAGGGTCGCTCACTGCTTCCCTCACCATGAGACACCCACAGGGACTCCCTCCCAGACCAGGGGCATCTTCTCCCACCCCGGCGCTAGGGTCGCTCACCGCTTCCCTCACCATCAGCCACCCACAGGGATGCCAGTGAGGCCGGCCAGGAGGGGAGGAGAGGAGAGCCGGAGCAGACAGGCCTTGTTGCCCCAGGATGCTCTCTACCCCCAATCCACGGTCCCCCGGGCCAGGACAGTACCTAAAACCGTAATTGAGAGCCTCCTCTGCGGTTACGACTCCAATGTCAATCGTGCGGTTCTTCCAGATCCGATTGTTCGTCAGCATCTGTCAGGGGACAGGGAATCCCCACCCGGTGCACGTTACAAACAGGGGCTGGATACCTGTAGGCCCACACGCGATGCAGAACCCTGGCACCCAAAGCACCCGGAGGCATTTCACCCCACGGATGTACCCTCCCCATCAGGGGAATGCAGCCAGCTCAGGAGTGGAACACAGCGGGTGTTAATCGCCTATGCTCACGTCCCGCACTGAGTCTCCCTCCATCCCCCCTGCAGTAGGAGGCAGGATTCTGCTTTTTTCGGCCCTTGACGGTGATGTAAGCACAGGGGTTTGAACCTGCCTAGGACACCACAATCCACAGCTTGACTAATGGTGCCATATGGTCTTCAAAGGCCACCAACTATGCACAAGACGGCCAAGCAGAGCAGCCCAGCCATCAGGCTGTAGAGCCTCCCCACCCACGGGACTGGCTACGAATTGGGCTTGGCCAGCTGCTTCAGGCAGCAGCTCCCCTCCCTAGCTCCCTTTCTAGCAGTGTTACCTGCTCACTACAAAGAAACTGAGGGGTCTGGATCAGCTGACACGGACCTGGAGGAGGCTGCAGGGGGTGAGCCATAGTGGCCTCACCCACGGTTGGAAAGGGGACAGAATGCACAAAACCCTTCACAGACCCCAAGACACAGGCACTCATGGGGCTGGAGGGAAGGGTGGGGGAGGATCCTGCATTCCCAGGTTCCATGCTGGGGTCCCCTCCACAGGGAGGAGCAGGGCCTGATTGCAGGGAACAAATCCGACCCCAGTTCACGGCAGTGGCCCCTGGGAGCCGCACCTCTTCCAGCTCGTCGATCCGGATGGAGAAGTTCTTGCAGAACTCGTAAATATCGTCCATCAGCCCCAGGGGCATGTCCTGTGGGAAGGAGGGGGTTAGCCCAGGCAGTCTGAGCTCTTCCTACAGCACATGTGCGCGCCCACGGGGCGGGGGTGGGACACATGCCTGGAGAACCAAGGAGCTGCCAAGTCTCAGCAGTGCTGGCGAGACCCCAGCCAGCTTCCCCTCCCCCGCAGCCCTGTGTTTGCTCAGAACCGAAGCTGGCTGCCAAGAGACACAGGGCATGAGCCCCGCAGGGCGCACCTGTTGCCTGGCTTTGGATGTCAGGCCAACCTGGAGGAGAGAGAGGGGAGCCTGGAGCCAAACCCTGACTGGTCAGTCCCTATTATGCCAGCTTGTGGGGCAGGTCGAGG